CTGATTATAACTCAAAATAATAAAATATAGAGAAGATTGGCAGCAGCGTCTTTCTGATTATAACTCAAAATAATAAAATATAGAGAAGATGGGCAGCAGCGTCTTTCTGATTATAACTCAAAATAATAAAATATAGAGAAGATGGGCAGCAGCGTCTTTCTGATTATAACTCAAAATAATAAAATATAGAGAAGATGGGCAGCAGCGTCTTTCTGATTATAACTCAAAATAATAAAATATAGAGAAGATTGGCAGCAGCGTCTTTCTGATTATAACTCAAAATAATAAAATATAGAGAAGATGGGCAGCAGCGTCTTTCTGATTATAACTCAAAATAATAAAATATAGAGAAGATGGGCAGCAGCGTCTTTCTGATTATAACTCAAAATAATAAAATATAGAGAAGATGGCAGCAGCGTCTTTCTGATTATAACTCAAAATAATAAAATATAGAGAAGATGGGCAGCAGCGTCTTTCTGATTATAACTCAAAATAATAAAATATAGAGAAGATGGCAGCAGCGTCTTTCTGATTATAACTCAAAATAATAAAATATAGAGAAGATGGGCAGCGGCGTCTTTCTGATTATAACTCAAAATAATAAAATATAGAGAAGATGGGCAGCAGCGTCTTTCTGATTATAACCCAAAATAATAAAATATAGAGAAGATGGGCAGCAGCGTCTTTCTGATTATAACTCAAAATAATAAAATATAGAGAAGATGGCAGCAGCGTCTTTCTGATTATAACTCAAAATAATAAAATATAGAGAAGATGGGCAGCAGCGTCTTTCTGATTATAACTCAAAATAATAAAATATAGAGAAGATGGGCAGCAGCGTCTTTCTGATTATAACTCAAAATAATAAAATATAGAGAAGATGGCAGCAGCGTCTTTCTGATTATAACTCAAAATAATAAAATATAGAGAAGATGGCAGCAGCGTCTTTCTGATTATAACTCAAAATAATAAAATATAGAGAAGATGGGCAGCGGCGTCTTTCTGATTATAACTCAAAATAATAAAATATAGAGAAGATGGGCAGCAGCGTCTTTCTGATTATAACTCAAAATAATAAAATATAGAGAAGATGGGCAGCAGCGTCTTTCTGATTATAACTCAAAATAATAAAATATAGAGAAGATGGCAGCAGCGTCTTTCTGATTATAACTCAAAATAATAAAATATAGAGAAGATGGGCAGCAGCGTCTTTCTGATTATAACTCAAAATAATAAAATATAGAGAAGATGGGCAGCAGCGTCTTTCTGATTATAACTCAAAATAATAAAATATAGAGAAGATGGGCAGCAGCGTCTTTCTGATTATAACTCAAAATAATAAAATATAGAGAAGATGGCAGCAGCGTCTTTCTGATTATAACTCAAAATAATAAAATATAGAGAAGATGGCAGCAGCGTCTTTCTGATTATAACTCAAAATAATAAAATATAGAGAAGATGGGCAGCGGCGTCTTTCTGATTATAACTCAAAATAATAAAATATAGAGAAGATGGGCAGCAGCGTCTTTCTGATTATAACTCAAAATAATAAAATATAGAGAAGATGGGCAGCAGCGTCTTTCTGATTATAACTCAAAATAATAAAATATAGAGAAGATGGCAGCAGCGTCTTTCTGATTATAACTCAAAATAATAAAATATAGAGAAGATGGGCAGCAGCGTCTTTCTGATTATAACTCAAAATAATAAAATATAGAGAAGATGGGCAGCAGCGTCTTTCTGATTATAACTCAAAATAATAAAAAGGTGCAGCAGAACTTGGCTGGTGGGTTGCTAACCCACCAGCCAAGCGTGGCAACAACGGATAATGTCCAACTTATGTCGTAATATATGGAGGGAATCGATATGATGAACGGGAGTAGAAATATAAGTATTAGCAATGTAGAAGCTGCGAAATGGAAACCAATACCTCATTTCGTCTCGTGGGTGTCGTAAGAAGCGGCAGAAGGGAAACTGAAACAGGAGATGGATGGCAGCATATTCCTGATAACAGTGCAGAGTAACAAAAAGCTGCGGATGCCAACCCACTCGCCAAGCGTGGTTACTGCTGCAAATATCCGGCCTATTTGACAAACAATGGGAGAAGCCGATGATCAACAGTGCATAGGCCTATTAAATCTCACTACTAGACAAAAAATAGTTGATTGAGTTAACTACAACGCGTGTTGACTGACTTCACATAAGTATACCTAAAAATTATTTCCGAAATATTTTTTTAACTTCTCAAATATGTAGGTTTTCTCGCGATATTTTGTTTCATCACCGAGAACGTGGTAAATCGAAACTTCAAATTGCAATTAAAATATGGTTGGTGTCGGTGCGAATCGAATTTGGGTTGCTTACGATCGGTTCGATTACCGGATAACTTTCAAGATTACAGATCAAATAAACACGCGTTTAAAATTAGCTGTGTTTAATATTTAAGTATATTACTTTTTCGCAAGAGCATGTTCATTTACTCATGTCAGCTATGAAACCGGGACTGTCACAAAAATCTCAATAGGTAGGTAGTATTTAGTAGTTTCATTGGGCCTCGCGGGAATCGAACTCTTTTGTTCCTGTGCTTTGAAATCTTAGGGCGGGCTACACAGCTCTCGTATTTGCTTAAGCAAACTCATAAACACTGAAAATAAGCTTTTGCAATATTGTTGACCCCATCTACATTGTAATTAGTCAATAGAATAGAATAGATTAGAATAATTTTTTATTCAATATACATTACATGTGTTATTCTTATTGAAAGTCATTTTTTACTTTACCACTGGTTCGAAAAAACCCTCTGTCCTGGGAAGAACCAGCAAGAAACCCAACAGGAAATCAGCCTGCCCAGGTAGTTTTCGCACCCCATCACAGCAGCGGGCCACGAACTCTACAGTGATCCAACTTATTTATTAGTTGCTGGTGTTCTAGAGTATCAAATTAATATATTAAATTGATTTTTTTATTAGTTTTGTTCTAAGAACCTACAGCCTAAAATACTTTTTATTTATAATGGTTGTGCATTCAAGTTATTTTTAACTTTCATACTCGTACTTTTAGACTCAAGTGGCAAGCCCCTGAAAGTGGATTCTGCTTTCAAACACAATCTGACACCAGGACCTTCCAGATTACCAGTAAGATTCAGTTATTCTTTTATATAAGTGTTAATATTTATGTAAGTTAGTGATTGTTTATATATAGGTGTCATGAAACTCAATGTCGAGCGAGTACCGGCGATAGGCCAACTTAAACTGTTTACAAATAAGAAAAATCCTTGTCTCATACTAGTGATAATAGACATATTTTTGAAAATGTTAAAAATCATCCTCGTAGATTACATCTTTAAATAGTATGGTCAGAAAGTTTCGCAATTTAATAGTGATTTTTATAATATTGTAATCCTTATTAACCCTCCTACTATAAAGTCACAATTCAAACAACAAAGGTCTAGTTTTGTGAAAATAATATTAGTTTGTTCGAGTTAAGGAAAAAAATTATGTCTCCTAATTTTGACACACCGTTTTTAAAGAAAGTAGTACCCTTGTAGGTAGTAGTAACCTTGACAAGTAATTTTAAAAGATGGCCTGTTTAGTCAAGATTCCAAAATGGTTCAAAAGTGCCATTCTTTATTTTCTTAAAAAATATTGCTTATGTGTTGCTATCTTCAAAAGTAAGCGGAAAAAAAATATTGAAAACGCTTGCAAATGATTACTTTAAAAGAGACGAATTTATCCAGGATATTAAATTGCATATTGTGCTCAATAAGGAAATTAGTGTTGGTGATTTCCTGGATGTATTGCAGAATCTTTAAATTACATAATAATATTATTTAAAAAGAGGAAGTTTAATTTCATTTAAATGCAATACGAAATATGATTTTTATTTAAGTTTTTAAAATTATTAACTAATAAAAAGTCTATGAGTATATTCATTGTTGAACCTGTTGAACCCCGTCTGGGGTGAATAGATAAACAAGCGTGAATAGATAAACAAGAGTATCCACTATCCACCTTAGGGTGCATAATCGGAATAACCGAATTATTTGCTATAGTTGACATGCTTGGCATTTTATTCGACGCTATCTCAAGTCTTTTCGGTGTGCAAATGTTCTCGTCTTAAGCTTTGAAGTTATCCAGTTCAAATTTACCCACATGAAACTGAGTTAAATTAACTTTTTTCATAATTTTCAGATTAGCACAACTTTAGTTACTAAATTAAAAGAAAAAGTGACGAAACAGAAGAATAATATTAAAAGTCTGAATGAAAAGTGTAGAAGACAGTCTAAGAAAATTGCCAATTTTTCTCAAATATTGAAAGATCTTCAATCTAAACATTTATTAAATACTATAGATTATAGAATGAAACCACGATTTCACGAGTAAATTGAAGGCGTTCGAAGAACCGTGCCGCGTGCAACGAGTGTATGTGCGCAACTGCCCGTCGAAGGAATGATCTCCGATAATGTACTTGTAGGTGCAGCGGTTGTTCGAGAGCGCTTCTTACTTAATTTATTTCTAACATGACGGTACACAAGAATCAAACAATATACATAATATATAAATAGCATTAGAGAACAAATAGTCACATAATAAATACATATTTTATAATGCGTCGCTTACAATTTCTGCCTCCTTAGTGCTAACTAGTTAGCACTACAATCCCGTGGTGATAACAGAGCGACGCGCGTTACCGGTCTCCGCAGAACACCCGTACGTGTGCGAACATCTACTATACGAACGCGTCCGTCACTGGCTGCATGGGTCGCACTCACTACCCCGTGTCGCCAGCAATTGCTATCAGCATTCGGTTCGACAATAATGACATTAATCACCTACGTGTAGGGACTTCGATTCTTGTGTCCACTTTTGACGAGGGAGCAGAGATGGCAAATATTCTTTTAGCCAGCGAGACCAAAACATATCTGCTAGCCTTTGTGCCACGCGCCAGCGCTTTCTTAAGTAAAGATCAAAATCGCCAAACTTACCAAATTGTGGGCTTGTCTATGATGCACCAATCAGAAAGTGATTGGGCGTGAGTGCCTCTGGGTAATTTGGGTCATTGGAGACATGCGTAATTGGCCGACTATTAACTGTCGCCTCCACCTCAGCTAACAACGTTACCAGTGTATCAGGATGAGAGGCGCGTTCTTTTAAAATTACCTTTAGTGACGATTTGGCTGTACGTATCATCCTCTCCCAAGATCCCCTATTCTCAGGGGCACCTGGTGGAATAAATCTCCATTCCACGCCTCGTATAGCTCCAGCCTCGCGAACTGTCTCCGTGTCTAGCTCGGATATACTTTTCTTCAGCTCTGCGTCTGCGCCCTTCAGGTTCGTGCCGTTATCGGAAATAATTACTAGTGGCATACCACGACGAGCTGCCATGCGTCTTAATGCCATTATTGTGGAATCGGCCGTAAGGTCCTCAGTTACCTCGATATGGGTCGCACGGACTGTGAGGCAAGTAAAGAGCATTCCATACCTGTGAGGGAAAGCCTCACATCGACGGTGAGCTGAAGTGCGGGTTGAACGAAATTGGAGAGGAAATGTAAGGGTGTGCACTTACTTGGAATGCAGATGGGCGGATGATAAATGAATGGTGCTGGGTGGCTGGCACGCTCCTGAGCCGGTTATGCTGTTGAATGTATACACGTGCAACTAAAGTCTTATATCATACACTGTCACTTTCACTTTAATGTTTAATTGTTCGTAATGATTATCACTTAGATATATTAGATACCGGACGGCAATATATACATAATTAATGCGAGCCGATGAGCTGAAGGTCGCGGAAGCGCTTTCTTACACCTTTTCTCGAACAAAGGCGGCGCGTGACTCTCATCCGGGGTTGCGACTGACGCGATACAGCGCTCGCGCCGAATCAATGAATGAGAGAGAGAGAAAGCGAATCAAGGAATCAATCGTCGCGCGCGAGTGGCGCGAACATCCTGGGGGGCCCGAGAGAGCACCTCTTCCTGGGCTGAATCCAACGGCAGCCCAGGAAGAGGTGCTATCTTGAGCACAGGTCTGCGCAGATGTCCGTAGGCCGTGTCCAGATCCACAACTCGGATCACTCCATCCTTCCCAGGTATTGTACGGGTAATTCTTCCCAGTTTCCATTGGAGCGGGGGCAGTTTATCTTCTTTGATGAGTACAAGTTCGCCAACTTGAGGAGGTGAGGAAGGGGAAAGCCATTTGGAGCGGGTCTGTAGGGTATGGAGGTAGGATCTGGTCCACAGTGTCCAAAAGCGTTGAGAAAGAGCTTGTATGAGTTGAAAACGTTTAAGAGCAGATAATGGCCTGTCATCAAAGGACGGCACGGGCAGAGCTGTGAGCGGACGGCCTATAATAAAATGGCCAGCGGTTAAGGGCTGAAGGTCCGACGGGTCGGATGAAAGTGGGCAGAGAGGTCTGGAGTTAAGTACAGCCTCAATTCGTGTCAGAAGTGTGGAAAATTCTTCAAATGTAAGGTGTTGTTCACCAATTACCCGATAAAGTAATTGTTTCGTAGATTTAATGTTAATTTCATGTAACGCGCCAAACCAGGGCCCCTTTGGGGGGTTCAACAACCAGGTTACGTGCTGGTTGGCTAGTTTGTGTGTGATTGCATCATTATTAGCAGTGAGAAAAATTTGAACTTCCATGAGGTGATTTCTGGAGCCTACATAATTGGTGCCGCAATCTGATCTAATTAGTACCGGCGTACCGCGCCGTGAGATAAATCATTGTAACGCTGCGAGAAAGGCTTCTGTGGTAAGAGCAGAGACGGCCTCTAAATGAACCGCCTTCGTTGAGAGACACACGAATATACAAAAGTACGCTTTTAAGAGCTTAGCGTTCCGTAATGTGCTAGATTTAATGAGAAACGGGCCGGCAAAGTCAGTCGTGACTTGGCTAAATACAGGTTGAGGGTTAACCCTGTCCGCGGGAAGGTCACCCATTAACGGGGCTTCGGGTTGAGCGCGACATCGGAAACATCTTATACATTTAAACACCCTGCGTCTGATCACGCGGCGAGCGGATAGTATCCAGAATTGCTGGCGTAGAATGGCGTGTAGAGTGTCGGAGCCAGGATGGCAGTATATTTTGTGATAGTGGTCAATGATGAGGTTTACGAGTGGGCTGGAGCTGGGCAGAATGAGTGGATGTTGAGCATCGTACCTAATCGAAGCATGAGAGAGACGACCACCGACTCTCAAGAGACCGTCCTTCATAAATGGCGAAAGACGCTGTAGTCGAGCGGTGAAAAGTTTATCTGTTTGAAGACGGTGAAAGTCCTCTGCGAACTCATTTCGTTGAACGGAGCGGACCCAAAATAACAGAGCGTCCCTACGTTCACTAACTGTCAACGGGCCAGCGCGTCGTGCCTCTGGACCGCGCTTGCAATTGAAAATGAAACGCCTGATACAAGCCGTCATCCCGACGAGCTTGTCAAGTGAGCTGAAACGAGTGAGCAGATCATGGTCAACATCCGGAATCGCTATATGCGCTGGCACCTTTTTCGGTTTAAGGCCTGGTAAAGCATGATGGCCTAAAGCAACTGGCATCTTGGGCCAGGTGCTAGGGGGCTCTTTGAGCCAACTGGGAGACCACCAGAGATCATGAGCTGATAGAGATTGTGCTGACATGCCCCTGCTTGCACAGTCTGCAGGGTTGAGATTCGTGGGAACATGTCTCCACATAGTGCTAGTCGGACTAGACGTTATTTTTGACACTTGATTGGCCTCGAATGTCTGGAGCCGATGAGGGGGCGTGTTAAGCCAAGCTATAACTATTGTGCTATCCGACCAACAGATATGCTGGTCAATCGCAATATGAGCTGATAATTTAGTGGACACACGAGTCATGAGTTGTGATAAAAGAGCTGCAGCTGATAGTTCCAGTTTAGGAATTGAGAGGCGATTCTTAATAGGCGCGACCTTTGACTTGGCAATGACCAGGTGTACATTGACCCGTCCATTGGCATTGAGCTCATGAAGATAAATGACAGACGCAAATCCAGCTTCTGATGCGTCCGCGAATCCGTGGAGTGAGTAAGTGGATGTCGGCTTATATTTGCAAATGTGACGAGGTAAGCGGAGATTCGAGAGCTGAGGAAGATCTTGTGAAATGTGCTGCCACTCTGTGTAAACTTCATTGCCAGGGGTTCCGTCCCATCCCAGTTTCAGAATCCATAACTTCTGTAAAAGGAGCTTTGCGCGGAAAATGACCGGTGTGACCCAACCGTTGGGGTCATAGAGTGATGCTACTGTGATGAGAATAGAGCGCTTTGTGATTTGGGTTATTGGAGGGAGAGAAATGCGATAAGTGAACTCATCCGATTGAGGAATCCATTGTATCCCAAGCACTTTAATGGTGTTCGATTCTGGGCTGATGTCAAAGTCCTTAGGCATGTCACATTGGTCGTCTGGAAACCGTTCCAGGAGCTGGGGACAGTTTGAAGTCCATTTACTGAGCTGAAAGCCACCCATGCCAAGCAAATTAATTAACTCGGTTTGTAGTACCTGAGCAGACTCCACAGAGTCATGACCACAGAGTATATCGTCAACGAAGATAGAATTGCGTAGGATCTGAGCAGCTTGTGGGTAACGATTACCTTCGTCATCAGCTAATTGTAGCAGTGTGCGGATGGCATGGTACGGGCTGGACCGTAAACCATACGTGACTGTATTTAGCGCATATGTGAGCAGAGGCTGGTCAGGTGACGACCGCCACAGAATAAGTTGATACTGTCCTTGGTCTGGATGAATGAGTATGTTTCTGAACATTTTTCTGATATCAGTACTGAAGACTACAGGCTGTGTTCTAAATGACATAATAATATCAAAAATATCCTGCTGAAGGGCTGGACCTGTGTGCAAGAAATCATTTAAACTTACGCCATTTGAGCTTTTACTTCTACCATCAAATACAGTGCGTAGCTTATTTGATCCCGTCTTAAAGATGCCATGATGCGGAATATAGATGTGCGGCCTACCTGCAAAGGTACTTGGGTGACAAGGTGACATGTGTCCCAAGTTGAGATACTCATTCATAAAGTCAACATATTGAGAGCGGAGGGGCGGATTTGCATGAAGCTTCTTTTCGAGATTGAGAAATCTACGTAACGCAATAGCATGAGTGTTGCCTAAGGTCGGTGCATTTGGTAGAAAAGGCAATGTTACTATATATTTGCCTGATGGTTCTCGATTTGTTGTGGTGCGGTAAATTTCTTCGCATTGCTCCTCCAAAGGACTGGTCGCTATATGAGGTTGGGGTTCTTCTGACTCCCAGAACCTCTCAAGGCGCTTGCAAATTTCGCGTGTAGTTACGTCGGATTCTGGGTGTGAGCTGATAACGTGAGCTGAAATGGGCTGGTTTGCAGACTTTGTATATAAATCCTCAATAGGTCCTATCAATGCATAATCGAAAATCGTGCCGAAGGCTATAGGCTTCCCCCGGCCTAAAGAAACCTTAGTCTCGTCCAGAACTTGGCCGAGAACGTCGGAACCCAATAAGAGATCGACCGGAGCTGGTGTATGATAATCTTGATCTGCCAAGGGAACCGGAGGCTCTGCATCAGCTATGCGCGGAACTTTTTGTAATGGCAAATAACCTGTAACATTTTTTAAAATGTGCGCTGTAGCCGTAATCGTAGGTGTGTCATGGTGTGTTGGTCTACACACTACTGTGATTGATGCCTTTGAGTCCTGTGTGTGGTGGTTGCCCACTCCTGCGATTTTTAGAGATGTTTGATTTAGCGGTAAATTCAAAATTCGAGCCATGCGCTGAGTTATAAGTGTTATCATGCTACCACAATCTAACAATGCTCGAGCTGTGTGAAACTGGCCATGTACGTCTGCTATTTTTAGCGAGACGGTGGGCAATAAAATTGGTAAATTGGTAACGTGCTCTTCACGTTGAGCGGAATTGCAAAAATAACTATTCATAGTTGGAGCTGATATCGCAGAGTAAGCTTGTGATGTCTGTGTGTGAGCTGAGTTTGAGTGAGTGTGCTGATTAGTTTCTGGTTCGTAGTGTTCGTTTATTGTAGATAGTCATTGTTGACCACCTACACCGAGACCTACTAGGAGAGCGCGAATGACTTGTTTCATTGTTGTGTGGCCTGGGGTTGACATGTGCGGCGTGTGCTGAAAAATGTTGGGGCTCTTGAGCTGAGCGCTGTCTGGGTTGCTCTCTCAACTGCGAGGGTAGAAGATGAGCATTCGAGTGAGTTGGAGAAGGAACATTGGGCCGATGCAATGATGTGTGGTGTTTTCTATTTCCACACTCTTTGCAAGCCTTCGTGGACTTGCACTCATTCTCATAATGAGGGCCTAAACAGCGTCGACATCGGTTGCGAGCGTTGATGAAGTCCCATCGGCCCTGGATCGGTTGGTCTTTGTACCTCGGGCAGGCGA